CAGGCCATGCCAGCGATGCCCTCCCATCAGGGTCTGCATTTAAACCCCGGCAGGGCAGAAATGGGCAGGGCTGGTTAACTGCTAAACTGAGGGTATTTTAGTAAATCAGAGTCACTCCTGCAGAACTGGCAAGCTTCGGTCTGCTGTGCATCACAGTGCGCTCCCCAAAATGGATGCCTTGGTTTGAAGAGTGCTAAGGAGCAACCTCTGAGCGAGCAGGGAGAGGAGGCAGGTCCTGGGGGCAGCGCTGGCCAAAGAGCCCTCCGGGGGCCTTGGGAAACACGGATTGCAAAATAAACAAATAACTGCTGAGTTATCACATTAGTATTGCTGTAGGACTATCCCCCTTTATCAGCAGCTCCTTAATTGGGGCCTGCCTGAACTAATTAGTTCAAAGAAGGGGTCAGATTGAAAAGGGGCTGTATCTAATTCATTCCCTAACAGGTGGTCCAGCTTCTCTTGTGGCTCTGAAAAATTTAAGCAGTTGCTCAGCGTTTTCTTCAGTGACCTGAGTATTACTAATTTAAACGTGCTACTATTTTAATTTTAATAATGTGCTCTTTGCAGGATTGTGCCACAGAGCGAAAGCCAAGCTCTAATAGCCTGCTCTGGATGCAGGTAGGCGCTGGGTGCCCTCATTGTCTTTTCCTCCCTTTTTTAGGGAACTGGTGGTGTTTTGTGGGTTACTCTCTAATGTGGCCCTGGGACAGGCGGGCTGATCCAGGATCACAGGGGAGAGGCTTTCCCAAAGAGCCATCAGTGTGGCCATGCTTTCCTCCGGCACAGGCTGGCATGAATGCCTGATTCCTCCCCTGAAAGCACCTTTTCCACCACCCAAATCCAGAGACAAGGTAAGAAGGCAACCTGACTGGAGCTTAAACTGATGATTTTGCTAAGTTATTTAAACGTCTGTGTTTTGCAGGAGTAAATAGCCATTGCTGAGGATCCATCCATGCACTCCATAGAGGCGATTACTCTGTGGCCTCTATCACCAATACTGCATTGAGACCAGCCAGATTCCGGTAAACATGCTGGACATGGCATCTCCTACACTGGAAGTCTGTTATGAATGCTGAACCTGTGGTTCTTCCAGCCCATAAACCTCACTCACCCCTCTCCCACCAGCCCTTCCCCAAGCTGCTGCCTCCTCCGTCCCCCTCTCCGCACTGCTCACAACTTCATCCCCTTCTCTGGGTCTCTGTGGCAGTGCCAGGTGCCCCCTCTCCTGCCACGGGACTTGTTTGCTGTGTAATCGAAGAAAGCAGGTGGCATTTTACCAGGTCAAGAATCACTGGAAGAGCTTTAATTAAGAAACTAACAGGTTAGATCAAATTGAGGAGCAGCTTTAATGTGGTAAATTCTTTAGGAGTAATAGATTCTCTGTTTGGTGGCATATTTATAAACTCGCAGCCTATGCTTATGCTGTTGAGACTAAATAAATGCTGAGGGTAAAATACCGCTTCAGACTTCATGAGCGGGCTGGGGTGTTGCAGGGTACAAGGTAATACAGGCTCAAGCTTGAAGAGGGGTCTTCGATTTCTTATAAGGAATTAAGGTTTTTATTCCGACCTTGGATATCCAGAGGAAGTTACGGTGATGAGTTACTTCTTTTAGTTCCTTTCTGCTGGTGATTTATGTCCTGACAGCACGCAGCTGCCTGTCCTCTCAACCAGCATCTCCTTAGCAAGCTGAGTGCTGACCTTCTGCCTCCACTTCCACCTAAAACTGTCTCAAATCCTCCTAATGTGTCAGAATATGTGCCAGGAGAAGGAGGAGGAACTCATTCCTCATCTACAGAGTTTAATGCTCTGGTGCGTTTGCTGGAGATCTCGTGGTGCCGGGGGGATTTATCTGCCAATTACTTCTCAAGAAATAACAAAGGGTCACACAGTACTTGGCAGATAAGGGCAGAAAGGGGAGAAGAGAACTGGGTTTTAATTGAATACCAAGTATGTTGAACAAAAAATTTCAGAACCATCAATTAGCTGTTGGCCTGGGGCTGAAATTTAATTAAGAGAATTGTGCTTTTAGGATGTCTCTGTCTGGGGGGTAAAAAAGCATAAAGGGGAACTGTGAAGGCTGGAAATGTGATGGGGAGGCAGAAAAGGTCCTGCTGGAGGTGCTTCAGAGTTGAGCTGCTACTTGAGTTTGCAGAGATCAAGGCTGTCTGTCAAACTGCACATCCCATGCCTGAGAAATGCCTTAGGTCAGGATGCAGGTGGGTTTCCAAGCTCGGACAGTAAATCCTCTTCCCATGTGGCCTCAAGGCAAATCTGGCTTTCCTGCTGCTCTCTGCACAGGGTGAAGGGATGGGGATGCAGGACAGCCCGTCCCTGAGGTGCTGCCTCTGCTTGATGCCCCGGGGAGGCACCATCCTCCAACCCCCCCAGCCCCACAGCACCGAGGGCAGCTGGGCTCTGCTTTGCTGCCATGATCTAGTTAGTGTACCAAAGCAAACAGCACCGGGGTGCAGAGTCCCAGTCCCAGCTCTTCCTCTTCTCCAACCCCACCGGGCTTACAGGGTGTTGCCAATTTACTGCACTGCTAAGGTTAATTTGCTCCTCTCTTCCTTCCTTGCCATCACCATCCAGTTATAGCTGTACAGATTAGTTGGCTGTGAGGAGAGGAGAGGAGGGGATGCCGCTCGCTGTACGTCTCTGGCTGTCGGGGCTGGCTATGGCGTGCATGCAGCCAAAGGCGCCTGTGAGCTCAGGGCCTCGAGCCCCACAGAGCTGCAAGCCACAGCTGGCTGTGAAGATGAAGAAAATTAATTCCTGTGCTGGCTAGGCAGGGCATGGAGTGGCTTAAGCGGAATAAGCTGTTATGTTTTGAGGAGATAACTCTGATGCATTGGAAGAAGGACTCATTAGCACAAGAGCCCAGCCTAGCTCTGGGCTATGCAGTAAGTTGTTCCTCTTAACCTCAACTCAGCCCATGCAAGAGCTGAAGCATCCGAAGGTAAGAGCTGACACATCCAAACCTCAGCCCTGGATTTTGCCACGTCCAGGGGACCAGCAGCTGCCCCAGGGCTCCCCTTCCTCCTCCTACACCTTCCTTACCTGTGTGTTACTTCAAGGCACCCTGGTCCCTACTGCTCTGGTTTGTCTGCAGATGCTTTTATCAATGGCTTGTTCTGAGCTGCTAAGGAAAAACCTGTTCTAAGGGGGGAAAAACAGTCTGTACTAGAGAAAAGATTGTTACAAGCAAATTGTTTCATTTCCTAGTTTCTTTTGCTAAGTGGAACAATTTTCTCACATTGTAGCAAAACCACTTCCATTTTCTTCAAGAAGCAAATCCCAAATTTCTGTGCAGAACTTCTTTAACAACAGTAAAGAAGAACTTTGTTCCTAAATTCCCAATATACACAAAAGAGCGCAAAAATGGCATGAATCCTTAAATTCTGAACACACAGTGTCTCAAATAATTGCAAAAAACAAGGTTCTCTTTCGTCATCCTTCAGTTATTTTAGGGGCAAAATAGATAGTTTAATAACTCACAATATAATAATCACACATGCAAAGCCACCCTACACCAAAATGAAATCAATCCTGGACAGTTCCCGACACATCGGTGGGAGGGGAGGTCTTGCTCCGACTCACCCAGGGAAGTGATTTCCCGTAGACACAGTATGGTTACTTAACATCTTGTGCTCTTAAAAATATCACACAGATATTTTCCAAAGTGTATGCAAAATTCTAAGATCATTTACCGCTATAGTTTGGTGAAAAATGGTATTGAAGAGTGAGGCTGAATTGGCTGTTTGAAGAATTTTTTACAGTCACTTGAGGGTTACTGGTGGCTGACACTTGTTTTATTTGGCAAGAGCCTTGCGTTTGGCTTGTGTAATCTTCTACATCTTACTCCTAGTCCAGATAGTCTCTTGCAAGACTGGGGCAAGTGTCCTTGGGCTGGTTTCTTGGACGCCTCTGGTTATGAATATCCACTTTGCTCACAAGATGATAGCAGCAATGACTATTGTTAATGTCTTATAGTCAGTGTGTTACTTATCACAAAACATTTGATGGACTTTCACAAATTATTTTCAGGAAATAAGAGAATTGCTTCACCTGCCGAGCAACACTTCTCAACAGTACGCAGCTACACCACACCGGGGCTTACAGGGCAAGGCTACAGTATCCAGCTGAAGCAACTAGAGGAATTTGGACAGAAAAGGTAAAATTATCCAAAAGAAGCTTAGACCACAATGATGGAAGTATTACTATTACCTTAAGGAACACTCATTATTAGTTTGTTCATTTTTCTGTGACAAATCCAACTGGTCTGGACCTTGGGTTTACGTGCTACCAGCACAGCAATATTTCCAGAAGCGTGGGGTGAGGTTCATGACACCCAGCTTCAGTTATTCCTGACATAGGAGTCCCCACCTGAGGGAGTCCCTTTACAGTCAATGGACAGAAATAGTCACATCTCGGGAAGCGTTCATCTCCTCCTGAGGTATGTGTCTTCCTCGGAGGACTATGCTGAGATGAGAGGAGCTGCTTCCTGGAAGTGCCTAATTGTCCCCATTAACTCTAAAAGGACTCTAGAGGAGCAGCTCACATAGGGGTCTGTGTTATAGGCACGTAAATTCGGATAGGTGAATCTCAGCCTATAAGAAAACTGGCCCAGCAGAAAGAAGTTGTTTTTTTTTTTTCTTTAATGCCCTTCTCTTCCTGGATTTCTTTTCAATGCTCTGGTCCAACTCAACAAACAGTTGCACTTGCATGTAACACAAATGGCGTTGCACTGCTATAATTAACTACAGATTCTTTAAAGATGCTAAACATTGACCTGTGTCTAACACTTCACCAAACAAGAATAAATTAGTGTTAAGGAAAAGCAAACTAATTTGCCTCTAAGAATCTGTTTTGTTAAATGCCCTGGAGAGGTATTAAATTAAGCTTGCTGCAATGCCAAAGCAATTTCTGTTGGCACTTTCCCAACACAGTGCATACAGCTGCATAGCTCCCACTGCCTGCGTTGTTTCAGGGTCCCAGGATTTATTGGGCAGGCTTGTTCTTCTTTGCAGGTGCAGGGAGACGGTTCAGATCTTCTTGTTTGGTGACGTTGTGATCGGAGCTGTCATGAGAATAGTCCTTCATAACGCTGTAGTACACCGGGGCGGTGTACGGTGCAGGGTTCTCAGTACTCTTCTCTTCGCACTTGCATAACTTCCTAAAGGCAGCCCTGAATTTCTGTGACATGAGGTTGTAGATGATGGGGTTGATGGCACTGTTCAGGTAGATGCACATGCGGCAGAAGAGAAGGAACCAGATGTTCAGGTACGGAGGGTCCATGAAGGAGTTCACCACCACCAGTGTGCGATAAGGCATCCACAGAAGGGCGAAGAGGACCACGACGACAGCCAACATTTTGGTCACCTTGCCGGTGGGGATATGCAAAAAAAGAAATAGTCAGATGATGCTAAATCTCCAGCAGAGCTTTCCCACCTGGAGAAATGGTGCAGACAGCTAGTTCAATCTACATATTGCTTATATCTCTCTTTAAGCGTTTAAAATAGGCACACAAACCATTTCTCTCTGAATCCGTTTTGTTCATGAAACAATCTTGCATAAATAAACCCCTTCAATGACAGGTTTTCACCTACTGTTGAAGAGCCTTTAAAGCTCTTTAGGGCAAGCATCCACCAGCCTGGAAATGGGCTGGGATGATCATGGGAATTTCTGTACCACAAAGCAAATTTGAAAATTGCACATAACAATAAGTCAATGGGGAAACTAATTTGTGCAAAAGTGGGGTCCTAACTTTTGGGGGTGCCATGGGGTATATCTCAACTCCCTGCCTAGGATCTTCTGCTTTCGTACACCAGCTCTGCTGTTCCCAGGGATAGGTCCTGGTACAGAGCAGCACTGAGAGCAGAGGAGACTGCCTGGAGTCTTACACAAATTCCTACTTTTGCTGATTATGGGAGATACTTAGCTAATTGGAATGGGTTGTTTTAATTTGCAGCACACTGGGAAGTACTACATTAACATATTAGGAACAAGAAGATATTGAGAATTCAGAAGTGAGCAGTAATTGCCCTCAGCTCAACTTAAGCTTGTTTAAGAAAATAAGTTTTTGTACTGAAACTCCAGTGATCCTAATAATTTCAACAGCTGTTTCTGGTAGGTGACAATCAGCCTCCAGCAAATACTTGCAGAATACACACGTCCCCAAGGAGGAAAGCATGAGTAAACACTGATGCTGCATGCATATTAAGGCAGTGGCCTTTCAAACGTCACAAAGGGAGTTGTGCAATGACTGCAGTTCTTGATACAGAAATAAGCACTTAGATCACGTTCACAGTCTCTCTGCTTTTCTTGGAGTGCTTTTTTACTTAATCACAAGCAACTATGATTTCCTGTAATGCTTTGAGTAGAAATTGAGGGTGGCT